CAAGGAGATTATGCAAAATTGCCTCTGGTCTGCAAGCCCCTTGCCCAAGGACAGAGAGTCCCTGCAATGCTGGAGGCTGTATGGGAGATAACAAGCCACGTGTTTTTCATTTCTCTAAACAAGTTTGTTTGACCCGTCTGCACCAGACAGGCTTGATCACTGTGGGCAGGAGGTTCACAGGCTGGAGGTTCTTCAGGGTTCATTCTTGCCCTGGATTGGGCCTGTTGGAAATGGAATGCCTGGACTTTCCTTCTTAAGCCTTTGCCATACCTGATTCTGAGCCATTACTTAGGAACCTGGGTATGGTCCTGGCCAAAGGCCATCCATCTGGCCAGTACTTAATTAAAGCTTGCTTCGAATTTGGTGTTGAATTGTGGTAGTGGTCTTATTCTCGCCGTTGGGATTAATGCTGTCTCCCCAGCCTTACTTGAACTTACTCTTTCCAGCTAAATAAAATCAAAACAATCAAGGTTAGGTTGAAAAATGCTCTTCTGTCTGGTTTATCCTGTCATGCGGGTTTCCCGAGCTTAAGTCTCTTGACTGAGCTTTAGCCGCATGATGTCCCCTACTCCTCTACCTGGAGGGCTGCCAGGTATCTAAAATGCCACTGAGTCAGGACCAGCGACACCCTGGAGCTCTTCCCACATCTTTTCATGTTCCTGTGTGGTCAAGTTCTACCACCAGCTAGAGCTAGGCAGGCCAGAACGTAGTCACCGTGCCTTTTCTTCTGCCTTACCCTTCGGGCTGAATGCACACCCTTCTCCTTGCTTCTACTCCACTACCTTCACCTGAGCTATTACCACTGTTAGGTGACTGTAGATGCTTCCTCACTGGTCTGTCAGTTATTTGGACCTGCACCTGCCGTGTTTCCAGAGTGATTTCTTCATATGAACTTCATATTCTCTACTCTACATCCTAACCGAACTGTTTAACGTGTGTGTGTGTGTGTGTGTGTGTGTGTGTGTGTGTGTGTCTGCCTCTCACTGTAAGATGCAATATTGTAGTAGCTGGGCGGTGGTGGTGCACGCCTTTAATCGCAGTATCTGGGAGGCAGAGGCAGGCAGATCTCTGAGTCTGAGGCCAGCCTGGGCTACATAGTGAGTCCCTGGACATCAAGGGCTATAGAGAGAGACCTAGTCTTAGAAAAACTATAAAACAACCCCCCCCCCCAAAAAAGACCTAAAACCAAAACCAAGATTACCATTGCTTATCCTGACCACAAGACTCTCTCCTCCCAGCTTCCTCCACACCTTGGTCTGCAGCGCTCTATTCTCCCCGGGTGCCCAGTTTTGTCTAGATCTTTCTCTTACCATTCTTCCTCTCACAGGTTGCCCTGACCCACAAGGTCCTTTCTCTTGTACACTGCACCTTCCCTGCAGTCCTAGTTCTGCTGGATCTCATTCAGGGCTATTTGCCCTCACATTTCTCAGTAGGGCAAACCTCTACCACACAGCCCTGGACAGGTCTTCTTCATGGACTGAGTACAGCCATTGTCTTTTATTTGTTGATATAATTAGTTGGTTAAAAATCTATTTCCCACAGAGTATAGGCTCCATGGGAGTAAGGACTGTACCTGGGTTTCTTTTTCTTAATTAATTAATAAAAGATTTCTGTCTTTTCCCCGCCACTGCCTCCCATTTCCCTTCCCCTCCTCCATTTAAGTCCCCCTCCCTTGTCAGCCCAAAGAGCAATCAGGGTTCCCTGCCCTGTGGGAAGTCCAAGGACCACCCACTTCCATCCAGGTCTAGTAAGGTGAGCATCCAAACTGCCTAGGCTCCCCAAAAGCCAGTACGTGCAGTAGGATAAAAAACCCATTGCCATGGTTCTTGAGTTCTCAGTAGTCCTCATTGTCCGCTATGTTCAGCGAGTCCGGTTTTATCCCAGGCTTTTTCAGACCCAGGCCAGCTGGCCTTGGTAAGTTCCCAATAGAACATCCCCATTGTCTCAGTGTGTGGGTGCACCCCTCGTGGTCCTGAGTTCCTTGCTCGTGCTCTCTCTCCTTCTGCTCCTGATTTGGACCTTGAGATTTCTGTCCGGTGCTCCAATGTGGGTCTCTGTCTCTGTCTCCTTTCATCGCCTGATGAAGGTTAATATTCAGAAGGATGCCTATATGTTTTTCTTTGGGTTCTCCTTCTTATTTAGCTTCTCTAGGATCACTAATTATTGGCTCAATGTCCTTTATTTATGGCTAGAAACCAAATATGAGTGAGTACATCCCACGCTCCTCTTTTTGGGTCTGGCTTACCTCACTCAGGATAGTGTTTTCTATTTCCATCCATTTGCATGCAAAGTTCAAGAAGTCCTTGTTTTTTACTGCTGAGTAGTACTCTAATATGTATATATTCCATACTTTCTTCATCCATTCTTCCATTGAAGGGCATCTAAGTTGTTTCCAGGTTCAGGCTATTACAAACAATGCTGCTATGAACATAGTTGAGCATATACTTTTGTTGTATGATAGGGCCTCTCTTGGGTATATTCCCAAGAGTGATATTGCTGGGTCCAGGGGTAGGTTGATCCCGAATTTCCTGAGAAACCGCCACACTGCTTTCCAAAGTGGTTGCACACGTTTGCATTCCCACCAGCAATGGATGAATGTACCCCTTTCTCCACAACCTCTCCAGCAAAGGCTATCATTGGTGTTTTTGATTTTAGCCATTCTGACAGGTGTAAGATGGTATCTTAAAGTTGTCTTGATTTGCATTTCCCTGATCGCTAAGGAGGTTGAGCATGACCTTAAGTGTCTTTTGTCCATTTGAACTTCTTCTGTTGAGAATTCTCTGTTCAGCTCAGTGCCCCATTTTATAATTGGGTTGATTAGCCTTTTACAGTCTAGTTTCTTGAGTTCTTTATGTATTTTGGAGATCAGACCTTTGTCAGTTACGGGGTTGGTGAAGATCTTCTCCCAGTAAGTGGGTTGCCTTTTTGTCTTAGTGACAGTGTCCTTTGCTTTACAGAAGCTTCTCAGTCTCAGGAGGTCCCACTTATTCAATGAGGCCCTTAATGTCTGTGCTGCTGGGGTTATATGTAGGAAGTGGTCTCCTGTGCCCATGTGTTGTAGAGTACTTCCCACTTTCTCTTCTATCAGATTCAGTGTGTTCGGACTGATATTGAGGTCTTTAATCCATTTGGACTTGAGTTTTGTGCATGGTGATAGATATGGATCTATTTTCATTCTTCTACAGGTTGACATCCAGTTTTGCCAGCACAATTTGTTGAAGATGCTCTCTTTTTTCCATTGTATACTTTTAGCTCCTTTATCAAAAATCAGGTGTTCATAGGTTTGTGGGTTAATGTCAGGGTCTTCTATTCAATTCCATTGGTCGACTTCTCTGTTTTTATGCCAATACCAAGCTGTTTTCAATACTGTAGCTCTGTAATAGAGTTTGAAGTCAGGGATGGTAATGCCTCCAGACGATCCTTTATTGTATAAGATTGTTTTGGCTATCCTGGGTTTTTTGTTTTTCCATATAAAGTTGATTATTGTCTTCTCCAGATCTGTGAATAATTTTGATGGGGATTGCATTGAATCTATAGATTGCTTTTGGTAGAATTGCCATTTTTACTATGTTGATCCTCCCAATCCAAGAGCAAGGGAGATCCTTCCATTTTCTGTTGTCCTCTTCAATTTCTTTCTTCAAAGACTTAAAGTTCTTGTCAAATAGATCTTTCACTTCCTTGGTCAGAGTTACCCCAAGATATTTTATGCTATTTGTGGCTATTGTGAAAGGTGATGCTTCTCTGATTTCCCTCTGTTTCCTTATCCTTAGTGTATAGGAAGGCAACTGAATTTTTGGAGTTGATCTTGTATCCTGCCACATTACTAAAGGTGTTTATCAGCTGTAGGAGTTCTTTGGTAGAGTTGTTGGGGTTGCTTATGTATACTATCATATCATCTGCAAATAAGAAAGCTTAACTTCTTCCTTTCCAATACGAATTCCCTTGATCCCCTTATGTTGTCTTATTGCTATTGCTAAAACTGCAAGCACTATATTGAAATGGTATGGAGAGAGTGGACATCCTTGTCGTGTTCCTGATTTTAGTTGGGATGGCTTTAAGTTTTTCTCCATTTAATTTAATGCTAGCTGTCGGCTTGCTGTAAATAGCTTTTATTATATTTAGGTATGACCCTTGCTTGTATCCCTAATCTCTCCAAGACCTTTATCAAAAAGGGGTGTTTGTCGAATGCTTTTTCAGCATCTAATGAAATGATCATATGTTTTTTTTTCTTTCAATTTATTTATAAGGTGGATTACATTGATAGATTTGCGTATGTTGAACCAGCCCTGCATCTCTGGGATGAAGCCTACTTGATCATAATGGATAATTTTTCTAATGTGTTCTTGGATTCGGTTTGCCAGCATTTTATTGAGAATTTTTGTGTCGATATTCATGAGTGAGATAGGCCTGTAATTCTCTTTCTTGGTTGGGTCTTTGTGTGGTTTTGGTATCAGGGTAACTGTAGCTTCATAAAAGGAATTTGGCAATGACTCTTCTGTTTCTATATTGTGAAATACATTAAGGAGTATAGATATTAGTTCTTCTTGGAAGTTCTGGTAGAATTCTGCATTGAAACCATCTGGTCCTCGGCTTTTTTTGGAAGGGAGATTTTTGATAACAGTTTCTAGTTCTTCGCGACTAACAGGTCTATTTAGATCGTTCACCTGGTCTTGGTTTAGCTTTGGTATATGGTAGTTATCTAAAAAAAAAATGTTCATTTCTTTTGCATTTTCTAGTTTTGTGGCATACAGGCTTTTGTAGTAAGATCTAATGATTCTCTGAATTTCCTCTGTGTCTGTGGTTATGTCCCCCTTTTCATTTCTGATCTTGTTTATTTGGGTGTTCTCTCTCTGTCGTTTAATTAGTTTGGATAGGGGTTTGTCGATCTTGTTGATTTTCTCCAAGAACCAACTTTTTGTTTCATTGATTCTTTGGACTGTTTTCTGTGTTTCTATTTTGTTGATTTCCGCCCTCAGTTTGATTATTTCCAGTCTAGCAACAATCAGGACAGCACCGTCAGCCTGTGATGTCCCTGCAATCATGTTTTTGATGAAGTCTCTGAGTCCTGGGGCATCAATGATAGTAACATAGTATTTGCTGGTCTCAAACTTCCACAGGGAGGTGTCAATAGTGATACCACGCTCATGCTCAGCTTTCAGTTTGTCCAAGACCCAGGCACACTTGAAGGAGCCTTTTCCCATCTCGGCAGCCTCCTTCTCAAACTTCTCGATGGTTCGTTTGTCGATTCCACCACACTTGTAGATCAGGTGGCTGGTTGTAGTGGACTTGCCAGAATCGACGTGCCCAATGACGACGATGTTGATGTGAGTCTTTTCCTTTCCCATTTTGGCTTTGAATTAGTGGTGGTTTTCACAACACCTGCGTTCTGACGGCAAACCCATTGCGAAAAAGCGTACCTCGGTTTCTATGCGCAGAGTTGGCATAGTGCCTAGTATACAATCAGTGCTCAGTGAACGAGTTTGTTGTAGGAACAAATGAAAACAAATGCAGATTTTTGTTTTCTGCGATTTCTCTACCTCTTTGTGTGTGTGTGTGTGTGTGTGTGTGTGTGTGGTGTGCCTGCATGTGTGTTGTGTATATGTACATCTGGAAGCCAGAGATTTATGTCAGATCTGTATTCAAGTCCTCATACAGCTGTGCTGAGCACCCCGTTAACTAATTCATCTACCTGGTTCTGTCTCCTTTTGTATTATTTCACTCATGCCTTGTCCTTTGTCCAGGAACCAGGACTTCACATTATAGATAGATTTATGTATCCAGTTCCACCGCTGGGCCTACTTCCTATTATTTTTATATTAAGCAATAAAACCTATGAGATTCCAAGTAGTCTCTGGGCCTTCCCTTCTTCATAATATATATTTTTCTCTCTCTTCTGCAATAATTTCGTTATTATCGGGAGTCTATGGATGACTGCAGGCTTTGGAAATCCCCCCAGAAGTCAATCATTCCTGCCCATTCTATCCACATAGTATATCTTACCCCCTCATTAGTCACTCAGTGAACTGTCTTGCACAGGTATTCCAGGAACTTCTATTTTACTTAATAAAGGGTCCCAAGGGGAAGGGTACTGACACTGGCAATTCTGATATGCTGAAGGGAAGCTGGAAAGGGCTTCCTTTAAGCAAAAAGGTAAAAGATCTCTATAGAAAGAAATGGGAGGGGTACAGTGAAGTTTCTATGAACTGTGGTAAGAACAAATCTTCTATCTGTGAAATCTTGGGTAAAGAGGATATTATGCTAATTCTCAGTTGGCCCTCTACCTGCACAGCCACAGGGCACAATAGACACATAGTTCTAGGGTCTGGCTCTGTTTATGGTTTCAGGCATCAACTAAGGGTCTATTTCCAAATGCTGGGATATGGGATAGGGATTTATTTATTTACATATTTGTGTGTGTATGTGTGTGCATGCCTGCATGCACACATGTGTATATACACAGATCAGAGAACGACCCATGAAAATTGGTTCTCTTCTTCTATCGTATGGGTACCAGGGATCAAATCCAGACTGTCAGGCCTAGTGACAAACCCCTTTACTCAATGAGTCATCTCATTGGCCCTAAGAGGAAACTATCCTAGCTGATAATGCTTATTAATTCTGGAGGTACAGCTCAGAGGCTCAAGGCTTCTCTAAAATGTGTGAGGCCCTGGATTCAATTCTTAGCATCTCCCTCTCAACAATGTGTTGGTCATAGGTGAAGGTGACTTATTTTCTTAGTATTTTACATGAGTGACTCCATTTAGATGTCAGCAAACACATGGACAATACCATCATACTCATTTCCCTAGGTAGTGAAATAATGGAGAGACTTACAGAGTGGAAGGAAATATCTGATATTCCCTCTGTGGTAGTTTGAATGTAATTGGCCCCCATAATCTCACAGGGAAGTCTTCCCTTAGGAGATGTGACCTAGAAGGAGGAGAAAGTGTGTCATTATGGGGGTGGCTTTGAGGTCTCTTTTGCTCAAACTTTCCTCAGTGTACCAGTCAGTCAATTTCCTTTTGCCTGCATCACGGAGGATGCTCAGCTGCTCCAGCGCCTTGTCTGCCCATGTATCCTCATGCTCCGTGTCATAATGATACTGGACTGAACCTCTGAAACTGTAAGCCACCCCAATTAAATATTTTCCTTATAAGAGTTGCTGTGGTCATGGTGTCTCTTCATAGCACCAAAAACCCTAACTAAGAAGTTGCTACTAGGGACTTGGGTATTGCTGTGATAGAACTGACCATGTGTGTGTTTGGAGGAATTTGGATTTTGGTATTTTGGTTTGGAAACCAGTATGCTTTAAGCTCTGCTTAATTGCTATACTAGTAGGTGTTGTAGAATATTAGTTAACGGTGTGTTACATTTGTTTATACTGTGGAACATTTGTTTAATGATGCAAAGATGTGTTGCATTCTTTTTTTTCTGTTGCATTTGCTTAACTCTGTGAAGCAGTGTTGTATTGCCTGTCTAAAGCACCTGATTGGTCCAATAAAGAGCTGAATGGCCAATAGCAAGGCAGGAGAAAGGATAGGTGGGATTGGCAGGCAGAGAGAATAAGTAGAAGGGAAAATCTGGGAGAAGTTTGAGGAACAGGTTAAGGAAAGAGGATTCCAGGGGCCAGCCACCCAGCTACACAGCAAGCCATGGAGTAGGAAGTAAAGAAAGGAATACAGAAATAGAGAATGGTAAAAGTCCAGAGACAAAAGGTAGATGGGAAAATTTAAGTTAAGGAAAGCTGGTTAGAAATAAGCCAAGCTAAGGCTCGGCATTCACAAGAAAGAATAAGAGTCTATGTGTATTTATTTGGGAGCTTGATGGTGGGCCCCCCAAAGAGTAAACAAACAAAGAGTAAACAAACAAACAAAAAACCAGTGGTGCTAATTATTATTTGAACTACAGGGGGGCTCACTTAAGAGGTTTCAGAGGAGTAGAATTTTATATGTTGCCTAGAGATTGTTCTTATGATATTTTGTTGAAGGAAGTGACTACCTTTTGCCCTTGTTCAAAGAGTCTGCCTGAGGAAAATGAAGAGTTTTGGATTAATTTTGCTGAGAGAAGAAATCTCCAATCAGCTGAGTGGATGTTTTGTGGTAACTCTGCCTTGTGGATGTTAGTGGTAACTCTAATGAAGATTTATAACGTAAAGGAGCAAGCTGAGCATGGTAAATCACAAAATGTAAATTTTGAAGAGAAAAAGGATACCAGGAAATGGGATAGAGCTAAATCCTATGTTCAAGGAGATTAGCAGATTAAAAAATGGGATATAGGATTATCCTCTGTGCTGAGTTCGTCGGAACAATGGCCTCCCTTTCCCTTGCACCTGTGAATATCTTCAAGGCTGGAGCTGATGAAGAGAGAGCCGAGACCGCGCAGCACAGCTCCGAGCTGCTCACAGTGAAGGCCGCACAACTGCTGGGCTGGATATGAAGGAAGGTACCATCAGAGACATGGCAATACTGGGTATAATAGAGAGCTTCCGAGTGAAGCAACAGGTTCTTTTGAGTGCGGCTGAAGCAGCAGAGGTGATTCTCTGTGTGGACAACATCATCAAAGCAGCACCGAGGAAACGTGTCCCTGATCACCACCCCTGCTAAGCATTCCCATTGGCTGTTGATCTCTGGACCAGTCCGTAGCAGAACTGTATTTGAAAGACTCAACCTTTTAAAGAAGACTGTGGAATCGATGTGTCCATGATAGTTTGAATATTTAGCTGACCTTTTGTTTAAACATGGGTCTAATTTATTTGCTATTTCATTTTGCATACAATTCATTTGACTTAAAAGTTCATTTCTCATACTGTGTATTAAAATAAAAATCCAGTTATTAACTCTTAAAAAAAATGGGATGTAAGGGAGTGGTGACCTCAGGGCAAGTCCTACCCAGCAAAGTTTCCAACCTGTGAAATGGAACTAAAAGAAAGCTTAGAGCTGGGTGTGGTGGGGCATACATTTAATCCCAAAGCTGGGAAGGCAGACACAGGCGGATTTCTGAGTTTGAGGCCAACCTGGTCTACAGAGCAAGTTCAAGGACAGCCAAGTTTAGGCAGTGAAGGCAAACAGAAAGCTGGTGAAGATGTGCTTAGGAAGAGGGCCATGTTCCAATCCCAGCAAGGAGCAGAATTTGGCTGCTTCAGCCACGTGATTCTGGATTTAGAGTTAAAGATAGAAGGAAGGAGTTTTGAAAAACAAACAAACAAACCCACAGAGGCCGGGCATGTCTCAGGGTTGTCCCTGAATGGAGGTCTAATAGAGAAGCCATTGCATGAAGCTTCAAATTGCCAGTTGAAGCCTGAATTGCCTTGGAACCCAAGATATTAGAGATGCCAGAATCATGGGTTACTTGCCCAGGAGAGTTGCTAATATGGAGTGGAACCAGCCCAAGAGAAAGAAGTGTGTTGCAGTCAACAAAGCTGAGCAGAGTTGGAGATCTGGAGAGTGCTTTGACATCAGACATGGAGATACAGAGTTTGGAGTTTGCCAAGCTGGTTTTCAGTCTTGCTTTGGTCCAATACTTCTTTGCTATGCTCCGTTCTCTGTTTTAGAATGCTGATGTGTATCCTGGGCTATTATATGTTGGAAGTATGTGATCTGCTTTATAATTTTGATTTCATAGTGGATTATGGTTAAGAGATTACATGAACCTCAGAAGAGACTTTGGACTTTTAAACACTGTTGGGACTGTGATAGAGAACGGGGATTTTTGAAGTTGTACTAACTGCTTTTTGCATTACGATATTGTTACAAGCTAATGGGGGCCAGGGAGTGGGATGTGGTAGTTTGAATGTAATTGGTCCCTATAATCTCATAGGGAGTTGCACTATTAGGAGGTGTGGTTTTGTTGGAGTGGGTATGGCCATGTCGGAGGAAGTGTGTCACTATGGGGTTGGACTTTGAGGCTTCTAAAACTCAGGACACCCCCCAGTGTCTCAGTCAACTTCCTGTTCTCTGCAAAATGTAGGACTCTAAACTGCTCTGGAACCACATCTATCTGCACACTGCCGTGCTCACTGTCATGATGATAATGGACCAAACCTCTGAAACTGTAAGCAATCCACCCCAATTAGATGTTTTCTTTATTAGAATTGTCTTGGTCATGTTGTCTCTTCCCAGCAGTGAAAACCCTAATGAAGACACCCCGTTGCTATGCTATGACACAGCTGTAGTTAGTCAAAGACCATGTAAACACTTCCAGGCACAGAAATTCACATTCTACAAGCTTGATTTTTATCCTAAAGTTTTCTCCTGTAATACTAATGCATTTTTTCTAGTTCCAGCCTTTAAAATTATATGAAATGCTCCAACTTCCAGAAGACAGTCATTCAACTATTTCCAAATAC